TCCAGTTTCCATCCCAGACCCCCTGAAGAAGGGGAGGGGCTTGGGGAGCCCTATGTTACCATGTACCATCAATAAAGTATACTGTATCCAGCCAATTCCTGTGAGCTTTTGGTGTGGTTTTGTTTGTTTTCTTAAGGTTTTTACAGGGTCTAGGGTAAAGGGGAGAGGAGCTAGGCTGGTGCCAAAGACAAACAGACCTTGCTGCAAGCACCCGGGAAAGGCTCAGCATACCCTGACCACACCTTGACTCCGCCGGAGGTCCTGGGCCCAACTGAGCATGCCCTACAAAAGCACGTGTGCATGGGCATGCGCTAATTAGAAGAGCCGCCTGACTGCACTTTGCCTCGCTCAGTTTCCCTCCCAAGGTTTCTAGGTGCTATGTGATGAGGCATGTCCACCTCAGAGGACAAGGCCCTTTTGTCACCAGGTCACCTGGCTGCCTCTACCTGAAAACTATCCTGTCCACTGCCCTGTAGAGGAGAAACACTGGCCCAGGGAGTTAGGGCTTAGGAATCGGGCCACCAGGTCCTTGCAGCCCTGCCTGGTTACCTGGTCACTCGGAAGCAAAGCCCTAGCAACTCGGGGCAGAGCGGAACCACCAGGGTGTGAACTCCACCCTGCCTCACAGCCTGGAGGTCTTGAGTCAGATATTTACCTTCCTGTGCCCTAGTTACTCTCCTCTGCAAAGTGATAACGCTACACCCAACCCCTAAAGCTTTTCCAGAAGGATTACAGTAGGTCGGCTATGAGCACCCAGCGCTGTGTAGTAAATGGTCAGGAAAAAGGGTAATGCCCACCGCCCGTCCGTGTTCTGGGCAAGTGTTAAGAGGATTACTGCCGTCGTGTGTGGGGGAGGGCCCTGCGGGCGGGGGCAGGGGCCCTGGGTCCGCCAGCTGCCATTCTACACGGGCCAGTTACCTACAACCTGGGCCAGTTACCTACAACCTCCGGGGCCTTACTTTGCACCTGCTCGGGTGTCAAGTGAGGAAAACCACTGTGCGCCTCACAGAGAGGATGGCGTAGCCACTACCAGAAAGTGCTTGAAACAGCGACACAGCGTTCAATAAATACTCGCCACTTTCATTATTATTAAAGACTCCATTCAAGTGTCCGCTCAGCACAGCTCCCCGCAGGCGGGTCTGCTGAGGGGCTTGCACTCACGGCCCCCCACCTTCTCCCAAGCTTTTCGTCCGGGACATCTTCTCAGCCTGCTGCTCTCAGTGAACGTACCACAGACACGGAGGAGGCACATCTTCAGCTGATGCTTGAAGAAACTGAGACCCTGAGCACACATACACGTGCACACACACACCACACGCACTCGCGGGCACACACACACACACACACACACACACACACACACAGGTAGCTTCACCTTTTTCTCTGCCCTCAGCGTTGGGAAACAAACAAGAGCTTCCGTCTCCCTCCCCAGCATGGCACCCAGGCAGATCCAGAAGCCACCGAGACCGGAGGCACTAAGGCCCCTACAATGCAGGGCACTTCCACGAGGGAAGGGTCACAGCCCCATCACCGCCATCCACGGGTGGATGACAACGGGGGGGGGGGGAGGAGCACCCAGTCCTGCCTCCCCTCAGCTGCCCCTCAGAGGAAGCCCCCTCCCACTGCACCTGTGGCACAAGCCCTGGAACGACCAGCCTAACCCACTTCATACCAGTGCCTGGGCCAGTTAGCACCAGTACAGAATCAAAGACAGTAAGCTGGCTCGAGGCCACAGAGATGGAAAGGAGATCTGACGACCACATTCCTTACTCAATGGACAAGTAAGGGGCCACCATGGCTCTGGCAGCATTCTGAAGATGAGAAGGTAGCAGACACCCACACGTGAAGGCGAGGGAGCCCCAGCTGTGGGGGCAGGGCAGTCTGGGCAGGGCGGGCTGAGCCTCACTCCAGACACCTCAGAGCCCTGGAGGCCAAGGACTAAGGCAGGAAATCAGAGGGGGAAGTGCCCAAGTCCCCAGGGGCGAGGCTTGGTGCGGCGGGTGGGACGGATGAAGTTCCCCTTCTGTGAACCCCCCACCCCTCTGCCTCTGCGAGTTCCCAGCAGGCTGGGTGGGGCCCCGGGGCGCCAGGCTGGAGGTGCGTCCCTATCTCATGGAGCTATCAGATGAGACATCGCGATCGGAGTCCTCAGTCTCGCTTGGTGGCGGCGGCGGCGGGTCGCTAAGCGGGACCGCAGTGAAAGCAGGAGACTTTCTAGAAAAAAACACCGGTTGTCACCTTGGGGCAGGCAGGAATCCTCATGAGGCTGGCTCTCCTCTCCAGTGGCCTGATTCTCTGGGAGGCCAGTGACCACCATCTCAGGCAAGGACAGGAGGCCCGCAGGGGTGAGGGCAGGTGTGGGGCGAGGGAAGCGGGCGGAATCCCTCCCGCCCCACCCTGATGGGGGTGTAGTCCCTGTCTTTATCTCGGGGACCCTAGGAGGCTCAGAGTTCAGAAGTGTCTCACATCACAGCACGAGAGGTGCTGCCTGAGCCTGAGCGCAGACCTGGCGGCCCCGGCTTTGTGTCTCTCTGTAGTACTTTTGTGACTTTTTAAAACTTACTTTTTTGTTGAGGTATAACTTACAGAGGGTCAAATGCACAAACTGTGCTTCTGACTTTAAATAAAAATTTGCCCCCAAGGTCCCTGCAGGGTCTTCAAGCCCACCAAGGGCCTCTGACGCCCCACCCCTCGCTTGCACCCTGGGAGGAGGCCAGAAGAGGGCGGGCCGCGCCCCACGCTCCAGCGGGGGGTCCTCACCGGTCCCCAGACTGGGTGATGAGCCGGCGGCAGGTCTCCATCTGCACATCCAGGCCCCGCTTCATGCTGCACATCTCCATGTACTCGTGCAAGTGCCGGTTCATGTCGTTCTTGGCCGTAGCCAGCTCCAGCTGCGTCAGGCGCAGGACAAGACCCCACAGGTCAGCAGCGCCCCTGCCCCCAGCCCCCCAGAGGCTAACACGCGAAAGGCGCACCACCAGGCACGGAGCCCCGGTGGCCACGAGTGAGGGCTCTGATTTAAACACAAGTCAGATGGCGGTGCCTGGGTGGCTTAGTCAGTTAAGTGGCCGACTCTTGACTTCATCTCAGGTCATGATCTCCCAGTTCATGAGTTCAAGCCCGGCATTGGGTTCTGTGCCCAAAGCGAGGAGCCTGCTGCGTATCTTCTGTCTCCCTCTTTCTGCCCTTCCCCTGCTCACTCTCTCTCTCAAAAATAAACATTTTTAGGGTGCCTGGGTGGCTCAGTTGGTTAAGCGTCCAACTTCGGCTCAGGTCTTGATCTCACAGTTCATGGGTTCGAGCCTCGCGACAGGCTCTGTGCTGACAGCTGGGATCCTGGAGCCTGCATCAGATTCTGTGTCTCCCTCTCTCTCTGCTCCTCCCCTATTCATGCTGTCTCTCTCCCTCTCTCTCTCAGAAATAAAACATTTAAAAATTTTTTTAAACATTTTTATAAAATAATAAAATAAAAAAATAAATGAGTCAGATCAAGCCAGAAGGCACCAATATACTATCATTCCTTTTAGTTTTCCTGGGGATCTTTGCCTACAGAGGAAGGCCGAGGTCTCTGCTACAGGCCTGCATTCTTGCAGACCCTCAGTGACAAGAGGGACATAAGTAGACAGGACAGAGAGCCCAGGGTGACAATCTATGCACAGCTTTGCACCCTCCCTGGGCTTCCTGCATGGCCAGGTACAATGCTGCACCCTGTCTGCCTCCCTGACTAATTGGGGTGCTCCTGGGAGGCGGCCATGGGCCTCTTTTTTTTAATGCTTATTTTTGAGAGAGAGAGAGAGCATGAGCAGGGTAGGGGCACAGAGAGGGGGACAGAAGATCTGAAGTGGGTTCCATGCTGATAGCAGTGAACCCCATGAGGGGCTTGAACCCACAAACCTCGAGATCATGACCTGAGCCGAAGTCAGGAGCTCAATCAACTGAACCACCCAGGCGCCCCTGCTCCCGGCCCCAGGTCTTACTCATCTCTGCACGTGCCCAGCCCCAAGATGGGAAACTATGCAATGAACCTTTCTTCAGTAGCGACAGCATCCAGCATCGTGGCCCAGAGGAGGGGACCTGCCCTGCGCTGTTGAGAGAGGCCCAGTCTGCCCTTATCACGCTGGTCTCCGGTGTGAGCCGTTCTCAGGGTCTAACAGAAAGACTTCTGCCACACCCGATGTCCTACCGCTGTTAAGATGTGTCCCGACTTAAGAAACATTACATGTGGCAAAAGGTGGGCTCAGACTCAAGGAAATACGGCCTCCCTCTGAGCTAGATTCTGCCACAGGCTTTGAGGCAGAGCTGAGAGGCGGGGCGATGTGGAAAAGATCTGGGCCAGAGACAAGTGCTGCCTCTCTTTGTCTGGGGTACAAAGGACAGAGGCCCAAAGGAGAGGCAGGATAATAGTGCCTGGAGGTGATCTGCTTCACTGCCTGGGAGCACAGGGAAGGGGAGGAGACGACCGTGAATGATCCACACTGGATGGAGGAAACCACCCAGAACTAATCCAAACTGCATTGGGAGAGGATGGGGACCCGGAGGGAGAAGAAACCGGGTCACAGGGCCAGACAGAAGGGATGGCCTGCACGGGTCATAAGCCCTGGTGAGAACAGCTCTGGTGGCAGCCCTGGCTCCAGAGCAGTGGGATGTGCTCAGTCCAGGAAGACAACAAGATGTCACCCCAGCTTCCCCACCTAAGCAGAGCAGCAAGGGAAGGGACTAGCTTCCGGGGCCCATCCCTCACTAGGATAGGGAAGAAGGAAATGAAGCAGCTGTATTCCATCCAAAGACCAGGCTGGGACCACCACCAGCGTCTGTGCTCATCTGTACCTGTCCCCTTACTTCACACACTTAAAGCAGGGGTGAGGGGGGCACCTGGGCGGCTTAGTCGGTTTGGCCTCTGACTTTGGCTCAGGTCTTGATCTCTCAGTTCATGAGTCTGACCCCCGCATCGGGCTCTGTGCTGATGGCTCGGAGCCTGGAGCCCGTTTCAGGTCCTGTGTCTCCCTCTCTCTCTGCTCCTTCCCTACGCACACTCTGTCTCTCAAAAATAAATAAATGTTAAAAATTTTTTTTTTTTAAATTTTAAAGCAGGGGTGAGGAGAGGCAGCCACCACTGTTGGGAGGTACCTAAAGACCTCCAATGAAATCCGCGGACTCACTGTCACCGGAGGGTAGGGCTGGGACTAGCCGGAGAGGATGAACTCCCTCCCACCCTCCACCTGGACCTTGGCTTTACCACCGACAATAGGAAATGAATGTTCCTTGCATCCATCCCAGTGACCCCAGGATGGGTCACCAGGGCCAGCGCTGCACCCAAAGACCCCACCCCCCACCCCGTCAGCTCTCCCAACACCTCTCCTAAAGCCAATCTGCTGCAAGAGAGAAGGAAGACTGACATGGTGTCAAGGAGCAAGCGGAGAGCGACTCTCCCTTCCCCTCTGGTCAGCAGAGACCAGAAACCCAGCTGCGCCTTGAAAACTTCGCACCTGTCTGCTTGGGCAAGCAACAAAACCAGGTTTGGCTTAAAGGAGCAGGACCACTTGGTGTGTGTTGGGAGGATGGGCACGTAGGAAAATCATCTGCCCACTTCTGTCCCAAGAAACGGGCAGCATGAGACAAGCCAGGGTGTCAATATGCTACGTGGGCTTGAGGAGAGGCCCACGTGTGTCCTCCCCACGCTGGGTGCTCAGGGAAGGGCGCACCCCACAAGCAGGAGGGCACCAGGAAGCGCAGCCCCTCCACCCAGGGTGCCACAAAGGCGGCCCTGCAGCCCCAGCGTCTGCCATCTCGAGAAGGGTCTTCGGGCTAGGGGGTGGCCAGGGGGTGACAGCGGAGCTCCCTCCGTCAGGTGAAAGGCTGAACTAAAGAAACAGCGAAGCTCACGCCCACTTCTTAGTGGACTCCACTACCACACGGCCAGTAGTGACACTACTACTAAAACCGCCCTGCAGTACGCCTACTAGGAGACAGACGCTGCCCTCAGCGCTACGTGTACCTCATTGCATCTGCTCTTCAAACATTCCCGTGAGGGACGTATGGTGAAGATCCCGCTTGAGGGGCCCCTGGGGGGCTCGGTCAGTTAAGCGTCTGTCAATTTTGGCTCGGGTCATGATCTCTCGGTGCATGAGTTCAAGCCCAAAATCAGGCTCTGCACCGACAGTGTGGAGCCTGCTTGGGGTTCTGTGTCTCCCTCTCTCTCTGCCCCTCCCCAACTCACTCTCTGTCTCTCTCAAAAAAACTTAAAAAAGAAAAGGTCCCACTTGACAAATCAACAGGCTGAGAGCGCGGAAGCAGCCTGTTAGAAGCTGGAGTGGTAGAAGGTAGGTAACAGGGCTGAGACTGGAGCCCACATCTGTCCTCCTCCCTTGAGAGCCTGCGATCTTAGGGTTCCACCCCCACAAAAGAAAGGGGGAAGGCCTGGTGTCTGGGATCCCGCAGCCCCGCTCACGACCTGTGCGCTTCGGCCTCAACCACAGCCTTACCTCTATTTGGTCAATGGTTTCCTGATATTCTTTCTCCCGGGTTTTGAATAGGGACTCAGTATCTTTAATCACCTTCTCCAAGCTGTCTTCCTGCTGCTGGAGCGGAAGGGGAAGCGAGGGAGAGGCCAATGGGGGTGGGGTGGGACAGGGGCATTCCACAGGGCCGAGGCGAGGTGGGGGGGGGGGCGCGGATGGGGGAAGAGAGAGTCCGGTTAAAGGAGGCTGCTGAAAGCCCAGAGAAGGATGACGGAAGAGGCGAGAAGCAGGTGAGCATGGAGGCCACAGAGGGAAAGCAGCAAGGAGTGCAGGCAGGGGAGGGAGGGGATGGGGCTCCCAGCTGGGGGGCGGGACTGGTGGGGCCCTGAGGCTGGGAGGGGCCGTTACCTCTCCCTGCGCCTCTGCGGCTGCCATGGCATAGCCTGAGAAATCCTCCCACAGCAGCAGAGTCTCCTCAGTCTCCTCCCAAGTCAGGCTGTCACAGTCGTCCTCAAAATCATACTCCCTCCTAGAGACAGGGAGCCCGCCGTCAAGGGGGGCGGGGGCCTCCTGCCTGCTGAGGGCCGCTGTCGGGGAGCTCCGGCCTCTGGGGGGCTGCTGAGGGTGGGCCTGGGGGGCTCGGGACTCACAGCTGGTTGAGCATGCGCTGCATCTCCTCGTTGATGCTGAGGGCTGTGCTCTCCTCCTCATCCCCATCGGGCTGGCGGGGCCCGTCACTCTCCGACAGGGAGGTGTCCTCCTCGATGGCCGCCTTGCGCTCCCGCTTCCGCCCCCCCATGGATGGGACCTTAATGGGAGACAAGTGCAGAGACTAGAGAGACGAGGCCGGGTGCGTGAGGCGCCGGCAAGGGGGGTCGGGCGGGAGGGGAGGAGAAGCGTGAACCAGCAGGGAGGGCAGGCGGGCAGAGAGAGAAGACACAGTTACAATGACAGGAAAAGACACCAGAGTCACCAAGAGACAGGCAGACAGACAGATGGGGACAGGGCTGCAGACTGAGAAGGAAGAAAAAGAAAAAACAGAAAATAGGGTGGTAAGACCCAGGGAGAAATGGCCTGTTGTGACCACACTGAGATGTGCGTAATGGCTACAGAGGGCTTGTCTTCTAAAACAAAATCTTCGTAATGCAATGACCCAACTGAAAGGAGAGAGTTTGGCCGCAAGGCAGAGGGGGACACGGTGTATACGGAGAAGAACCGGACTCAATATCCAGGTCTGGGAAGCCGCAGAAGGCACAGAAATGAAGCAAAGAGGTAGAGGAAAGGGGGGGAAGAGCAAGGAAAACAGAGACCGGAAAAGAAATCTGTGCCAAAAAGCCCAGCGGGTCAAAACTGATGGCCGAGGCCTAGGTGGTTTAGAAACTGGGACTGGGACATTAAAAAGCTTGCATGAGAGCAAAACTAACCAGCTTCTTCTGTGGAGAAAGCCAGAAAAGATGAGAGAAAGAGGAGAGGAGGCGGACAGAGGAGAGAGAGGGAAGGGAGAGATGGCGTTAGAAACGCTTCCAAACCTTCCCTTTCAGAGGCTGTTCCCTGCCCCCCCAGCCTCGCCCCACCAAGGGCCCGGGGGCCAGGGGAAAGTCTTCCAAGGGTCTCGGCCTGCAGCCACCCTCCCCTGAGGGCGTCTGGCTCTGGCAAGCTGTGGGCAGTGCCTGGGGCCGAGGGCGGCCGGGCGCCCTCACCTGGAACATCTTGATCATGTCCTCACAGTTGCGCTGTTGAGCCACGTCGCACAGTTTGGCCGTGATATCGATGCGGCGACAGATGTCCATATCTACCTTCATGGCCTTTTCTTGGATCTTTGTGTCCAGCTCAGACAGGTTCTGTCCAGGGACGCAGGGAGCGGTGAGGAGGCAGCCAGCACCGGGACAAGGGCCAGTGAGGCACCAACAAGGCACTCATCCCTCCAGCCACACATCACCGATGTCCCCTCCTCCTGGACGTCCTGCCCTCAGCACGGGGAACCCTGGGGGAGCCCTGGAGGCCGTGGCCCGGGACCCGCAGGGGCCCCTCCCAGAGCGTGTGCTGCTAGAGAGCGGCCACTGGGGCTACAGTGGGGAAAGTACTACAGGAACAAGAATGGCGAGCGCTTATTCAGCCTAAACCTGTGCCAGCACGGCCTCCGCTGAGGACAGCTCCGTGAGCGCTCTGCAGGGCACGTGCCTCCCTGTCCCATTCCACGGGGGCGGGGGGGCCAGGGCCACACTGCACTCAGGTAGCAGAGCAGGGATCTGGCTGCTTAACTAACTGCTTAACAACCGCTAGTCAGGAGGCCACACCGCCTCTCAGACACAACACTGAGACTTCGGTGTCTTCTTTTCCTCTTGAATGCGGGTGGGGTGGGGGCAGGCAGAGGGAGAAGTACAGCAAACCCGGGGGGAGGGTCGAAGGGCCCAAACTAGAAGGGCCTGCTCTGCCAGCGTGAGGCGGCCACACTCACATTGCTCATGAGCCCCTTGAAGACCACGAGCTCAGCTTTCAGCTGCTCCACCTTCATGGCCAGCTCCTCCTGGCAGGCGTCAGCCTCTTGGGCTTCCTGCAGTCATGGAGAAAAGGCCTGGCATCAGCTGGAAGTGGGGACCGGATGAAGACAAGGCAGGGCCACAGGCCAGCGGTGGGGGGGTGGGGTGGGGGGGGCGCTGAGGGAGCAGGGCAGTGGCAGCCCTCACCTCCTGCAGCTCGTTCACTCGCTCCTGCAGCTGTATCCGCACGGTGTACTCCTCTTCCCACCTGGCAGACACGGGGGGGGGGGGGGGCAGGGAGGGAATGTGGGTGCAGGGCCCCCGCCGCCCGCCCAGCAGCTCCCTGCTCCCCACCCCTCTGGCTCAGGCCTCACCCTCACTCTAGGCCTGGTGCCCTAGAGGCACCGGGGCCAGTGGGCAGCCAGCTGCAGCTGTTGGGCGGCTCCACACTTTCTGGCAAGTGCGAGCCCGCCAGCTGCCTTCCTGGAACCTCCGGGCCGCGCCCCAGGAACTGCCTTTAGGAGCAACTGCTGCCACTCCGCTCCCTCGCGGTGCCCGTCCCCGCCCCCTCAGGCCCCCAGCGCCACCAGCCGCCTGGCTGGCCTCCTCCCGTCCTGCCCGCGCCAGACCACCAGGCCCCGCCAGCCCGGTCCCCCACCTTCAGTGGCACAGATCCGGTCTCCCGCCTCCTGCCCGCACCAGACCAGGGCTCCTCTAGCCCGCTGCCCTGCCTCTCGTGGTGCCATTTAGCCCTGGAGAAGCAGCTGCAGGACACACACCACATCAACAGGGTTGGTCAAGAGCCTGGTGGGAGACGCTCGAAGTCCGTCCCCCACAGGCTCCAGAAACTGCCCCCCCCCCCAGAACCCGTGGAAGTGAGCCCTAGAGAGCAGCGGGGCTGGCTCCGAGGCAAGAAAGCTGGGGTTCCCAGGCTCCCGCACCCGGAGGGAAAGGGAAATCAGAGTACGAAAAAGCACCTCGCTCTACAGCGGGTGGGGACCAGAAGCAGCATCACCCAGGCTCTGGAAGCCCAAGACTAGAACCACACGCAGCTAAGAGACACCCTGGGACGCGGGCCAGGCCTAGCTTTCCCACTAGATGGGAGTCCATGGTGAGCCGGTGCACAGGCCACGGCGTCGCCGAGGCGGATGGGTAGTGGCAGCCGCGGCCCTGCTTAGGGTTTCAGGACCCTGTGAGGGTGGTCGGGATGGCGGGACTTCTCAGACCCCATTCACAGGGCCCCCACCGATACAGACTTCCACTGCGGCCACTTCTCCCAGCGTAAGGAGGGGATTGCACCGCGAGAGGAACTGCGGTATCAGAAACCTGGCTACAAGGTGCAAAGAGGACGGCAAGAAAAATGAAACCGAGAGTGAGCGGCTTCTGCAGCCGTGGACTCGGTCCATCCTTCCCCACTTCCACCCTCCACTTCCCCCCACCCCCACCCCCCGTTCCCTCGTCTCCTCCTTGGGTTCTGCCTGCAGCCTCTTCCCTGTTCCTCTCACCAGCATCTGCACTGCAGTGTTCCTAATAATAACTCCCGTACATCCCCCGCTGCCCCTCCCGCACGGGCAGGGGAGAGGCTGCCAGGCTGGCCACCACCCTACTGGCCAGTCATGCAGCCCAGCTCCCGTCCTCTCTGCTGGCTGTCCACCCTTCCCTGCGGCCCCCACGTCCTTCCCTCCTTTGCTCTGGCATTCTCAGACACTGGGGCCAGTGAGGGGCTCTAGCAGCACCAAGTTATACCATTTCATAGATAGATAAGACTTTCTCTTTTTTTGGGCCTATGATTTTTTTATCTATAACCTGAAGGCATGGAACACAGTACCCTCATACTCCTGAGCCCGTGAGTCCCTGCAGAAGGAAAGCAGGACTCACAAGGGGACAATGGCCCTTGGCAAGATACATCAGGAAGGGTAGCAAACAACAGATTCAGGTAGAAATTTATGTAAGGAAGTTTGGGGAAGGGTTGAGATGAACAAAATCTTAGAGACAAAAAAAAAAAATCTGAAAATAAATCATCTGGAAGTTACTAGAATTCTTTATTAAAGTTTATTTAATTTTTTTTAGTGATCTCTACACCCAACATGGGGCTCAGACTCAGGACCCCGCGATCAAGAGGCGCATGATCCTCCAACTGAGCCAGCCAGGTGCCCTAGAAGCTTACTGGAAATTCTATTTGCTCTCCATCCAGACTTTCCCACAAACAGGTTCCTTCTGACATTCAAATCTTGTCTCAGCTACAAGGTCCCCTTGACATGAGTAGAATTTGAGCAATTTCCGTGTATTCTATGGTTACTAAAGACCTCTGTCCCAAATAAATTACATCCTTGAGCGAAGTGAGGAAGTCAGGGCCATTCCTACACTGGAAAAACTGAGGCCAGGAAAAAGAGACCCACCCAAGGCTGTACACGGCAGGGGTACTGGAATAGAACCCAGGCGACCTCAGCTCCTTCCCAGTTTGGTACTCAAGCTGTACCCATGCCTTCCGGGCTATAGACAGGAGCTATGGTGTTGCTTTAAAGAGAACAGAACGAGGGCGCAGGATCTGAGGTGGAAGAATGAGGAGCTGCCAGTGTCCCGTACCACACAACGCTAGCGGCGGGCCCTCTGCAGAGCTTGCTATGCAGAGCGATGAGCTCATCGATCCCCAAGGAATAACTCTCTGCTGCCCTGGACAGCTGGACCAAGGACAAACACTCTTTCAGTTAAGAAAAAAAACAAAAAAACAAAACCCAATACCGGGAACAGCAGTTGTTTCTGTGGTTATGGATGCATTCCAGAACTGCCCCATACTGCTGCTGACAGTGTTAACTAACTCGTGCAGGGCCAGGGGCCAGGGGCAGGGGCAGGCTGGGTTTGGGGGGCATCTGCGTGATGGCTTTAGGAGCACTGAGAGTCCCAAAGGCACTTAGAACATGGACTACAATGAAGGAAGCCAGCATGAGGACAGGCCTCAACCTCAGCAAGCCTGCTGATTCGCAATCTGCTAGCCTCTAGCAGGTCACAGACCCCCAACGGTGGCCCCCAGACTCGGGGGTAATTTCCCGGAACATCCACACAGGGCTGCAAGGGCAGTTCCCAGGCCTGCCCACAAGGGGTCAGAGTAGCTGATCAAGAGGTTCAACCCAATGGCTCCCAAACTAAAGCCTCCTTCTGATAGGTCATCTTCCTCCCCAACCACAGCATCCCTCAGACTCTACAGGAGCTGGCTGTGCTCCTTCCTGATGGCCTGGTTATCCACCCTCTAAGGGGTCCACCTGGTGTACGGCCAGCACTTGCATCACATCCCCTCTCCTGGCTCCGTGTGCAACCTGCCAGTCCCCTGCAGAAAGCCAAATCCTCATCCGCAGGGAGCACATGGGGCCTGGCTCCAGCTGCCTTATTCTCACAGGGTGTGTCCAGATTCTCAACTTTTCCCCCACTCACTTCCTCTGCTGGCTCTCCTCAGATCTCGTCATCCCTGGGCTCTTTGCGCTTTTACAGATTCCCCCAGCCTCCTCAGCCCTGTGACAACTAGCAGTCCCTTCCCTTTCCCTTAGGCAACTCCTTACCACACACAATGTTCGGAGGCTCCAGAGCCTTTCATCATGGAACTGAGTAGGTAGGTTCCCTGTTTTCCATCGACACTGCTTTGGGAACCCCAGAGGATGGGCAGGATGGCCCGCTGTGAGATGCAGCCCCTCCCTGACCCCCCCCCCTTCTAATTTCAACAGACTCCCAAATGAAAGCCATACACCTTGTCTCTTACTTTTGATCAGTACGCAGAGCGTCTATCACAAAAGTACCCTGGGGGGCTGAGACTGGTATTGCCCCCGGTGACCCCTCCAACCCGAGACCCTTTCACGCCTCACACAACCACACAGCGAACACAGGCATCCAAACACTGCGGCCCGGATGAGACAGAAAGAAAAGCCACAAGAGAAATATGTATTCCCCACAGCACTCCGCTGCGAGTCCCCTCCTTCCTGTCACGAGTGCAGCTTCTGCATTCCCTGTGGATTCCCACCTTCCTGTACCCAATGCCGGGCATCTCTTTCCAAGCTCCTCCTTACACAGCAGGAACTTTACTCTCCTGTTATTTCCTCCCTGATCCTTGGGCCGCACCGCTCTTCTCTCCGGGACCCACACCCAGTCCGGGCCCGCGTGCGGCACGACACCGAGCCCGGCCCCCACCTTCCCGGCCCCCTACCTCCGCTTGTACTCGTCCCGCTCGCGCTTCACTTTAGCCAGGACGTTGTAGAGCGCGCGGATCTCGGGGGTGATGGTGTCGATCTGGACGCCCACCCCGTCAGGGTGCACCCACGACAGGCCAGGCCCTTGCACTAGAGTGGGCTCCAGTCCCGGCCCGAGGCGGCGGGCGTGAGAGAAGGACCAGATGGTGCCGGGCATGAAGCGGGTTGACGAGCAGTAGGAGGTGGAGGTGGAGGTGGAGGGCGCCGAGTGGCCGGCGGCGGAGGGCGCGAGTGGCCCGGCTGGCGAGCGCGCGGGCGAGCCCAGCACCCGCGCCGACGGGGTGCAGACGGCGGCCGGTCGGTGGCCGAGGGGCAGCCCCAGGGGCCGGACGGGGCTGACGAAGCCGGTCTGCACGGCCTGGTCGCGGCGGCCCAGGCCCCGCCGGCCCTGCTTACCCTCCTCCAGCGCCTGCTGCAGCTGCTTCTCCAGCAGCCGGTTGCGGCGCTCCAGCTCGTGCACCTTGGCCAGAAAGCAGCGGAAGCGGAGGTTCAGGGTCTTGAGCACGTTGATGTTGGAGCCCAGGTCGTTGCGGAGCGCCATGGCGGCGGGGGGCGCCGGGCCCGGCCCGGGCGGCGAGTAGGCGGCCGGGCCGGCCGGGGCGAGCGGCGCCGGGGACACGTCCCCTCCCGCGGCGAAGTGGTCGCCTCCCAGGGGTTCCCCCAGTGGCCCGGCCAGGCCCTGCTGCTCCTGCTGTAGGAGGAAGAGGTTGGGACCGAATAACGGATTCATGGCTGCGTCTTCTGCTGGGAGACGGAGACCGCTACAGGAGCGGGGATGGAGGGCAAGGGAGAAGAGCCAATGAGGCGCCGGGCGGACGCGGGGCGACCAATCAGACGGCCCGAGGGGAGGGGCAGAGGTCAGGGGGGCGGGGGAGGGCAGAGAGGAAGCCAATGAAAGGTTGACTTGGAGGCTGGCCCCCGGACCTTTCCGGGTCTGAGGCTGAGGGAGCGGGACCCCAGCCCGTGCCTGCCGTCCAGCCCCGGCGGCCGGTGGGCGGAACACCCGGGTCCTTCGGTACTCCTTGGGTTCTGGTAGCAGGGTGCCCATCCTCCCTGCACCCCCATTCCGTCCTCTCCCCGGAGTCTGAACATCCTAAGCTCTGACTCCATGACTTTCCTCCCCTGGGGCCTGGGGAGACCAAGGGAACCCAGGAGCCTGAAACTGGTTTCTCAGGGTTCCCGTTTCCTCTCTTCAGAGGATCCCTGTTGCACCTTCCCACCTCTATCCTTAAGCAGCAAAGCCAGGACCCAGTCCCCTCAAAAAAGCACACAGCTGCCAGAGATTATAAAACGTGTATTAGATTTCATATGCACGGTGGGGACGCCAACCTCACAGAGGTAAGAGCTGCAACCCAGTGATCACAGCAACGAGCCACCCCAGTCTACTTTCAACCTAAGACATCAGATGGCTGCCGCCTCTGGACTGAGATTTTCTCCTCTTTGCTGGTGGGGGCCGGCTGGAACCAACAGGGGACATGGTGGAAATCTCAGGCCCCTTGGGGAAGCCATTCTGCTTCTGGAAGGCAGCTTTCTTAGGAGGCTGTTCTCGCAACTGCTGCTTTACCTTCTCAGCCCTTTGGCTGTTTCCAAGGGGCTGATCACAGTCCTCAGGCTTGAGAGTGGCCTGGGTCTTCGAGAGAGACAGCACAGACGCTTCTGTGTCCCTGCCCTTAGAAGCATTCTGCTTCCAGAAGGCAACTTTCTTGGAGGCCACTGGCGTAGCTGACTGTTGCTTTAGCTTCCTAGGCACCTTCGGTCCCCTGATCACTTCAGCTTCTTGAACTGGCTGACTGCTATCCTGGAGCTCAGAAGAAAGTTGGGACTTTGTGTCACAAGATACAGTGGGCACACTTGACTCTGTCCCTTTGGAGATGCTATCCCACTTCTGGGAGAAGTCCTTCTTGGGATGTTGCCGTTTCTGCAACTGCTGCTTTGCCTTCCCAGCCACTCTGGCCTTCTTGGCAGGCTGGCTGCTGCCCTCGGGCTTAGGGGTCACCTGACCTTTCACCTCAGGCAAGTCTACGTTTGTAGGGGTAGAAGCTGCAGAATTTCCTGGGTTAAAATTAAGCATATGGTTTAAGAAAATGGGTCTCATCACCGGATCCTGATAATTTAAAAAAAAATTTTTTTTTTTATGTTTTATTTATTTCTGAGAGAGAGAGACAGCGTGAACAGGGGAAGGTCAGAAAGAGAGGGAGACACAGAATCTGAAACAGGCTCCAGGCTCTGTGCTGACTGACATGGGGCTCATGACCTGAGCCAAAGTCAGACACTTAATTGAGCCACCCAGGCACCCCCGGATCCTGATCATTAATGGTGCAGGTAAGTAGTGATGTTAAGATAAGGAAACTGCCAGCGTACTGTCGGCCAAGTATTCCACACAGTTGGGATAGCGCCTAAGAACAGACTACCTACATTCAGATTACTTAGTAAGGATCACCTGGCCTTTACTCAAGTCATAGTTGAACCTCACATTAAGGAGAAAGGGATCAAAAAATAAATTACGAGGAAGGGATCATTCCCTATCCTTAGGCAAAAAGGGGTTCAGATGAAGCTGTGCCCCCTTGAGGACAGAAGGTAACAAGACACTCTGAGGAGGAGGTGAATCCTGAACACACCTGAAACACTGGGCTTTTTAAATCAAAGACTTTTTTTTTTTTATGTGGATTTTGATGAGATGCAAGAAAATAAGTCACACATAACAACCAGAAACAAGCTAGTAAGACATATTTGAGAAATAACATTAAATAGATACTTTTAAAGTTACTGTGAAGAAAAAAGTTACAGCAAAATTTTTCTAGTTATTAAGGTGTCTGTTAACATTCAGATGTGATTTTTGTGAGGGACATTATTTATAAAGAAAAAAAATTGGGGCACCTGGCTGGCTCAGCCAGTAAGGCATGTGACTCTTCATCTCAGGGTAATGAGTTCAAGCCCCATGCTGGGTGTAGAGGTCACTTAAATAAATAACAAAAAAAAAAAAAAAGAAAATCAACTCATTAAGTCACAGTTCATATTCCAAGAAACCTGCCTCTCCCTCTTCTAACTAAACCTAGGGTTATATTCCAGCATGCAGAACCGTCAAGCCTATTCCAGAAAACCCCACCCTTCCCTTTGAGATCAGAGAGGCCAGACTCAAGATGACTGAGAAAAAGATCTGCAATTAATGTGATGGGCTCAGAGAACTGCTGATAGTTCCGAGGAGTCTTGTGCCAACCCAGTGCTGACAGTGCTGCACCAGCAGAGGTCTATTACCAGGAAGGCAACCCTCGGCCAAGAAGAAAAAGAAACCACAACCGCGCTGTGAGTGCATTTAGTGCTGAAAGTCTGCAGCCACTTGGCAGAGTCAAGGAAAAGGTCCCCATCTATACGCATGCTTTAACATACACTCAGATGGGGGTCCAGGCTCAGGAACAATTCTAACTGAAATGAAAGAGGCTTCTCATACAAGCACGCAAAGGCCGGCCGAAGGGAGGCAGAAGTACTTCCCTTCCCAGCCGCCACACGCCTCTTTAAAGGTAGAGAGAGCAAAGGTGGTGACGAAGGGCAGAAAGGGCAGGCTGCTTACCTGTTTGGGATTGGGGGATAGAATTAGAGAACTTCTTGAACTTGGCAATAAAAAAGCCATCCATATTGTGGGTGTGAGGATAGAAGCGGCGAGTAGAGCGCAGAGTGGGGTGGAAGCGCCTTTCTCGAAAGCGAATAAAACCTTCCTGGCCAAAGTCCAGACCGGTGGGCACCAACCGCACATTCCTCTTTTTCAGGGCATAGTCTACCACCCACTCGTTCTCTTCCACCTGATTATATGGGGGAGACAACAGTGGACGGAGAGGCAGAGCTGGAGCTGCAGGGAGCTCTAAGGGGCAAAGAGCCCCCTAGCCCTGCCCCCTCTTGCTCTGCCACAATGGCCTCACCATGATGGAACAGGTGCAGTAGACAAGGTAGCCACCTGTCTTGGAGGTGGCATTGACAGAGTCAATAGCACTCAGGAGCAGCTCCTTCTGAAGATGAGCACAGCGCAGGATGTCCTTCTCGTCCTGTCCCAAGGAGAGACCGATGCAGGGTGTCAGAATTTCAAAAGGCAGCCTCAGGAGAAGAGGCGACCTGTTCACTGCTTCCAGCGCTCCTCCACCTCCCATTCCAGCTCTGCAAGCCCTGGCAGAGACCTCTCGGCCGGCCCCACGCCCACCCCTACCCCACCCCCAACTCCTCACCTTGTTAGTCTTCACAGCTGGGTCTTTGGAGATGACCCCAGTACCACTGCAGGGCGCATCCAAAAGGACTCGGTCAAAGCCCCCCACCACCTGGGGGGAAGGGGCAGGTGAATCTGACGTCTTTGGAAACCTGTATCGCACCACCGTTATTTCCCAGGGGCTAGTCTAAATGCCATGAGGTCGGGAAGGGGGCAGGGGAACCGGAGGACCTCGAGAGACACACGCAGGGGAGCCCCACCTTGGGGAACTGGCGCCCGTCGTAGTGGCTGATAATGGTATTGGTGACTCCCAACCGGTGCAGATTACCCACGACACTCTTGAGCCGCTCAGCATTGGCATCGTTGGCAAGAATCACACCCGTGTTCTTCATCAGCTGAGCTGAGGGGAGGGAGGGCACAGTGCTCACCAGCCCGCTCCTCTGCCTCCACCCGGCGGCTGCCCTCCTGCCCAAGAACCCGTAAGTGAAGTCACACCACTTTGAGGCAACTTCACTCCCAATAAGCCTCCTCCCCACGATCTACTGAACAGGTCTCCCCAATCTGCACCCTGCGATCAACAAGCCTGCCAGCGTGGTGGTTTTCGTTGTTACTGAACAGCGAAATAAAATGGTTATGACTGGTCATGTGCTGAACACTTGACCCAAAGCTTCCAACAGTATATCTCAGTCCTAACAACCCAAGTATGATATAACCACCAAGCCAAGGACAGTTACTACCCCATTCTATAGACAACAAAAGAAGACCAGGGACTGGCCCGATGTCACTGGGGTAGTTAGTGGCACACACAGGGCTGGACCACGGGGACTCGAGAGCCTATGCTCCTCACCACTCTGCTAGTGGCTTGTGTATGTTTGTTTTGCACACTGGCCAGTCAGCAACTCCATCTACTTCCCAAAGCAGACAGCCAGATGGCTCCCACCCCCTGCCTTCCCTCCTCATACCGATATAGCTAGTCTTTCCTCCAGGAGCACAGCACATGTCCAGGACCCGCTCGTGTTCCTGAGGCGCCAAGGCCATGACTGGCAACATACTCGAGGCTCCCTGAAGCATATAGTGCCCAGCCAGGTACTCAGGGGTGGCGCCTGTGGAGGGACACCCATCTGTCACATGCTGGGACGAGGGCAGGGGCAGAGGGGCTACTGGGCAGGGAACACCTACCAATGGGCACTGAAGAGTCATACACCACCAGTCCAGTCTTCGACCACTTGCCCAGGGGATCCAGATTAACGCCACGGTTAATTAGCGCCTGCAGATAAAATGAAGATTTTAAAACCTTGTAGGTACCCCCCGCCCAGAGAACAGGTGGAAATATGAAAACGTGGCTCTACTGAGGCCTGTAGCACCACCACTTCCAGAGCCTGTAGTCACAACACAGTCCTCAGACTTCTCAGCCTCTCCCACACCATCCTATGATGTCCTTTCCCTTAGCCTGAGGCTCCAACTCAAGGTCTGAATTGCAGCCCAGTGGAGCAGACTGCCAGCTCTTGTCCTTCTGTTTCCTGGAACCGAACTCTGATTTTCCAAAAGCCTCAGCCTGGGGGCGCCTGGGTGGCTTAGTCGGTTAAGCGTCCGACTTTCACTTAGGTCATGATCTCGCGGTTCGTGGGTTCGAGCCCCGCGTCGGGCTCTGTGCTGACTGCCAGCTCAGAGCCTGGAGCCTGTTTCAGTCTGTGACTCCCTCTCTCTCTGACCCTCCCCTGCTCACGCTGTCTCTCTCTCTCTCTCTCCTAGAAATAAATAAAACATTAAAAAAAAAAATTAAAAAAAAAAAAAGCCTCAGCCTGTCCCAACCCGCCATCCTAAAATGTAACATCACAGAACATTAAAGTTAATGACCGGGTAGGTTATCTTCGCACCAGGAGGAAGACTACACACAAGGTCACACCACTGACCATAGAACAGTGGTCTTTACTATGGGGTTTCTGATCCCTTGGAAACGAGGAGTTTAAAATATACTGTTTGATCATGTGTGTCATGTCTTCTTCTGGGGGCAGGAACCACAGTTTTACCAACTCTGCAATGAATCTAAATGGCAGACAACTCCCATTTTGTTCTGAGGCAGCACTTTTTTCCTGATGCAAGTGTCTCAACCCTGTCCCAGGGAGCAGAGGCTGAAGGGATGAGTCTCTCCCTCCACAGAGGTCCTAGGACCTGAGCGAGTCAGATAAATCTAACAGGACACTAGGCTTCCTGGGATCAAGCCTGTACTGAGAAATGCTTAGGTACTAAGACCCCAGCCCCCCAACCCCCTTCAGAATGAGACAGAGGAGTCTCTGGGGTTAGAAGTCAACACCTCTCTGCGAAACATCTCAAAATCCAGCCCTCACCTGAGCAAGGTCTCGGCGCCGGGTTTTCAAGGTATTGGTCCTGAGTGTGATGGGCCGAGGTACCTCATTAGCTTCTAAGAACTCCACCAGCTGAGAAAGCAAAACGGCAGGGAGCAAGTCAGCCTGGCCAAGGAGCTCAGCCAGAAGAGGAAAGAGCAAGGAGGTGGACTGCCTTACTCATGCAGGGTAGGACAGAGAAGATAAGAAAGGAAAAGCAAGGACACCTGGGTGGCTCAGTCGGTTAAGCATCCAACTCTAACTCAGGTCATGATCTCACGGTTAGTGGGTTCGAACCCCATGTCGGGATCTGTGCTGACAGCCAGCTCAGAGCTTGGAGCCTGTCTCAGATTCTGTGTCTCCCTTTCTCTCTCTGACCTTCCCCTGCTCACATTGTCTCCTTCTCTCTCTCTCTCAGAAATAAATAAAAACATTTTTAAAAATGTGGAAAAAAAACAGAAGAGGCATTAGATTAGCAATTCAGTACCTCAGACAGTGGGAAGAGGTCCATGAGCTTGCCAAGCAGGAAGTCTCCATAGGAGTAATAAGTGGCCAGGTCCTTCTGAAGCCGGTGCAGATATTCAGAACGAGATCGACCTTCCTCCCGCTTAGTCCCAAAATCACGCAGCACTCCCACTATATCTTGGATGCGCTTGTGAATTCGCTGCAAGTCTGGAGCCTGGGCATGTGGACGTGTTAAGGAACTGTTTCAGGATGTCCCAGGGCCTGGAAATCCCCCTCTCAAGCACCTTCTCCCTACCCCTCACCCTGCACTGGAAGGATATCCTGCTCCTGCTCCCCAGCAGGGGGCAGCACAAAGGGCTCCTCCTCATCCACATTGATCTGCAGGCCCCCATCTGTCTCATCATTCTTTTGGGGGCCTGACTCAGGGGACCCTTCCTCCACTTCCTCCTCCTCCTCAGTCTCCTCCTCACTCCATTGGCCCCTACAAACAGATCCAGAAACAGTGATTCACAGATCAAAACAGACACTTCCTCCTTCCTCAGTTCCTTCATCCCAGCTGCTGCATGGGCTCCAATCCTAAGAGTTTCCAAAACTCACCCAGCAACAGCTTCCTGGGCCTTTTGCTTCAGAGCAGCCCTCTCAATGGGCAGCAGCTGAAAAGACAGACAAGAGGCACGTGACACAAAGCCGCAAAGCCTGCCCTCTCACCCTCCCAAGCAGTATCCCATCCCTGTACTTTGTTTCCTAAATGCAACTGTAACACTCCAGAAAAAAAGGAGGGAAGCTAAAGAAGCCAAGGTAAGACTGGTACAATATCAACCACTGTTGAAACTAAGTAACAGACTACAGGGTTTCATCATGCTGTTCTACTTTGGTGCATAATTCCCTTCCCCTTAAAAGTTCTAAATGTTAATACACCCCCGTATTTATACAAAAGACACAAAAATTGTCCTTGGGCATCCATTTTGCCACATTTCTTCCAGACATACTATTTTTCACATAGCTGAAATCGTGATGCATTTTCACATGTGTTTCCTGCCTTTTCTCATTCATTCACAGAGCACCAGCATTTTCATACACATATTGGCCAAATGTTAATTTAGCATACAAATGATCTGTAATTTACTGAAGCATATTGGTTATTTTGACAGTTTCCAGAGTTGGGGGATTATGGCCCACAAGGTGTCTGCAAATCACGTAACAGTAACTCTTGTAGAAAAAAGGCAGACTGCAAGAAAGGGTGCGAATGGGAACTTTTGTTTCATCCTATACAACTCTGTACCACCTGAGTTTTCCTAACATATACTAATTGTGTAATACATACATAACTATTTTTTCAGGATTTTAAAAAAAGCAACCTCTGCACCCAACCTGGGGCTCGAACTTACAACCCTGAAATCAAGAGTTACATGTTCTTCCAACTGAGCCAGACAGGAGCCCCTACATAAATAACTTTTTAAACCTCAGTGAATAAATCTTTGTCCACATTCTGGATCATCTTCTTAAACAGAATTACTAGGTCAAAAGGAAGAAACTTCCTAAGGTTCTCAGATGCTTTATAAAAAATGTGTACGCATTCTATTCCCTCACCTCGGGCACTTAAGGATCCCCCTGACCACGTCCTCACCACCACTGAGCAGTCCCATGTTTCAAAATGCTCTATCCTACAGTTTTTCTATACTTTTCTATGAGCACCGAGCAAAAACACAGGTGACAGGAAAACAGTATGGAACACTAAAATTCCCTTTTCTCTACTCCGCTTATCCTCACCACTGAGGGATATTCTCAACGATCTGGAAAGACTAAAAGGCAAGGATCCCTTCCTGAACACCCAGAGAGATAAACCTCACCTCTTCACCTTCATCATCATCCTCTGAGTTGGAGTCCGCACCATAGTCATCTATCATATCAGCATCACTGTCCTCAGAGCCCCAGAGGCCTCCCTGGTTCACCACATCATCCTCTTCGTAGTCTTCTTCCTCCTCATCCTCCTCACTGCTTTGGGATGGTGCTGGACGCTTCTTGCCTTGAGAAGCATGAAGTAAGGGCTGGGCTCCCTTCTTACCAGGGGTCTGGACAGCTCCTCCAGAGGTTCCTAAGGGTTTGAATAATCCTGGACTGATGGCAGCCACACACTGATGAAGCCTATACTTTCTACCCCTAAAAATGTCCTCTGACTGCTCCTTTCACTCCAGAAATGCTCAACAAGTCCTTCCCTACCCAGGACCCAGAGGGCTTCTCATGTAGCACACAGCTCCTATGTTCACTGACCTCTGGGTAACTTTCCAGGCAATGGTTTGGCCCCAGGAAACTTATGCGTCTCAAGGGCTTCAGCAGAGCCCAACCTTCTCTTCGCTGCCCTGAAACGATATAAGGAGTGAGGAAACAGAACACACCTCTAGGCTCCACCACAGAAATGGGGCAGTCCCCAGACAACCCTTTCCATCGGTATGATCACATGTGATCATGTGACTAAAGATGAACAGTATCAATTTAACCTATGTAAGTCTGGACATCCATACTTACCTTTTTCGAGCACGACTAGAAAGCCTCTTAGAATTTTCATCACCCGCTGTATTTAAAAAAGAGAGAGAGGAAGAACAGTAGGTCACATGGGAAATGAAAAAAGAACATGACAAGAGAAAATAAAAGTGAGGAAAGAATTAATATACTAATTAAAGGGAGTGGGTTGTGACTTGCTCCACAGCCCTTTAGGAAGAGTTGGATGAGGGGCGCCTGGGTGGCTTAGTCGGTTAAGCGTCCGACTTTCGCTTAGGTCATGTACTCGCGGTTCGTGGGTTCGAGCCCCGCGTCGGGCTCTGTGCTGACTGCCAGCTCAGAGCCTGGAGCCTGTTTCAGTCTGTGACTCCCTCTCTCTCTGACCCTTCCCTGCTCACGCTCTCTCTCTCTCTCTCTCTCTCTCTCTCTCTCTCTCCTAGAAATAAATAAAAAAAAAAAAAACGTTTAAAAAAAAAAAAAAAAAAGGAAGAGTTGGATGAGAGGTGGAAAGATGATCTCCATCTGGTTGTGCATCAACCAAATCCCAACTGGGCCTCCCTCCAGATTTCTGATTTCAGTCAAGAGCATTACCACCATTCTGATAACAGATTCAAAATTCATGTGTTCTCACTGGCCTTCGACCTACCGTGTGGCGATTCGCTAAAGGCACCAAAGGTCTGAGTCAGTGAAGGGTTGGTAAATAGGGGACTCGTTATGATTCCTCCTTCAGGAAAATGGTGAAAACAAACTGAAATAAGCCAGCATGCCACATACACTTGCTCCTTCTGTGGCAGAACGATGATGAAAAGACTAAGCTGTGGGGACCTGGGACTATGGTTCCTCCACCACCACTTCTACCACTGCCATAAAGTCTGCCAACGGGAGACGGAAGGAGTTGAAAGACCAGTAGAAGCTCCACCATTTGAAACACCACTAGTCTATAAGAAATGGACGAAGTGATGTAACAAACAAAACTGTCTTGTCTTTTCCTTTCCTTTCCTCTGAATTTACTCAGTAACCAACCACAGATTTTGCCTTGGTAGGGAATTTTTTCATACGTTCTCCAAGAAATAGAAGGTTTAAATCTCAGCCCTGTCACTTACATGACCAAGTTACTTAATCTCTCAGCATTCATTTCCTTCACAACGCCTCTCTTGTAGGGAGCTATAAGAATGAGGAGAGATAATGTATCCAAAGGGTTCAGTATAGTGCCTAGCACTTTCTAATACCGCAATAATCTGCATTTTTCCTCCTAAGTACACAACACAAACTACCTGTCCATTCTGCTCTGCCACTCCAGCCTTCCATGCAGCAGACTATTCACTACATGGGAACCAGATCTGTGCCTGGCCATAGTCATCCCTCCACAATGCAACTAGTTGAGGGTGACTCCTCTGCTTCCTTCCCAACTTCCACTTTTGGAAAGTCAACCATTTTCCAAAACCCAACTTAATATCTTTTCTTTTTTTTTCTTTTTTAATGTTTACTTATTTATTTTGAGTGAGCACAAGCAGGAGAGGGGCAGACAGAGGGAGAGAGGCACAGAGAAAGGAGAGAAAGAATCCCAAGCAGGCTCTACACTGTCAGTGCAGAGCTCTACAAGGGGCTCGATCCCTCAAACTTTTGAGATCATGACCTGAGATCAAGATCGGAGCTGAGATCAAGAATTGGACTCTTAACCAACAAGCCACCCAGGTGCCCCCCAGCTTAAAATCTTTTTAAACTCTGTGTAGGTCCTCTAAACTCCCTCAGTGTTAAAAGGTACCTCCCCTTGCATGGGTGCTTCAGTCCCTACTGCGTCTTCTCTAAGTTCTAAGTGCTGAGGACAGTGTTCGAGTCATACTTACTAATAATTCATACAATATACTCTGGTTTCTCTTCAAATTGTCTAAATCTAATAACTTGGCTCAATGAAAATTCCACTTCAAGAGTGAATACTGAGACTAAAAACGGAGAGGAATGTGATACAGATGAAAAAATGGTGCAAAACCTAAAGAACTGGCGACAGTAGGTGAGGCGGGGGGGGGGGGGGGGGGGGNCGGCCAGGCCTAACCCTTACCTGCAGGCAAGAATCTGGCGAGTTCGGTCTCAGCACCCTTCTGTTTCCGGGCCTTACGGCCTGGCCCGCGCTTCTCCTTCTTCGTAGGGTCCAACTTGCGCCCCATAGTACTGGGGAAAAGAAAAATGGGAGAATATGATATAGTGAGGCGTGTTGGAAGGCAAACGGAGATCGCAGACTTGGCATATTAGATGCGGAATGGGCATTGCCTCGAATCTCGACTCCTCAGCCCCAACAGCCCCTAATGGCATGACAAAACCTCCATTCCATGCTGGACCCGGCCCTTGAGTCCCACACCATGTGTACTGCGTCCCCCTCCTGGTGCCCCAGTCTGGGTCAGTGCGGTCAGCCTTCCCCGACTTCCTCCGCGCCCACCCGAAGCCTTGGCTCACTTGAAATAGGGTCCAGGCCCGACTGGCCACCGGGATAAGCAGCTCCTCACTCCACGTGCACTGCAAACCTAGCCGCGGACACTACACTCTCAGGAAATGTTTCACGCAAGCGCACAGAGCGCGCCCGCCTCGAGGCCCCGCCTCTTCCGGTCGCTTCTAGTCGGCTGCGGAACCCGGAACGTACGCTGGCGGCCGCACAGCCGGAAGAAATTTGGGGGAGGATCGCTTCTCTCACTCCTCGACACAGGAAAAAGCAATGCGGACAGAACCTTTTTAACCCCACCCCCTCCCCCACCCCCGTCCGCAAGGGGTTGGCCTCTCGCCTCATTGCAGACATCAGCGGGCAGATCTGGTACTTCCAAGCCGCCCCTCCTCAGACCCGGGCGTGAGACTAGGCCCTCCTGGCATTCTCCGCCCTACGTCGTCTCAAGACCAACGAATCCCAAGCCTCTCCCCTCCCAGCCCTAGGAAACCCGCTCCTTCGACCCCCCCCCCAAACCCCCGCTCAGCAAAGTTCCTCTCTGCCTGGGTTCGTATCACTAGAGGCTAGAGGAAGACGTCGTGTCCTCAAATTTCACAGAAGTTAACAAGAAAATTCAGCCTTCCTTCAAAGAAACACGAAGGCGGTGCTTAGCAGCTGTTAAAAACATTTCCAAGCACTTTACTATTTTTATCTTCACAACTCTAGGAGGAAGATAACTTTATTTTATACGAGAAACCTACAGCCCAGATAACTCCCTCAGGTCACAAAGCCATGAACCAGCAGTACAGGGTATGAACCCAGGTACCGTTTCGGAGCCTCGCATTTTCCAGGTGGCAGTCATCCTGGGTCCCCGCCTCATAAGGCACGTGCACACAAACAGAACATGGCTCTTCCAGAGAATACCAGAACACAAGGTGGCCCCCTTAGGTTTCAAGTACACATTTCCCACAGCTCCTGTCGTCCACACTCATCCACCTGCAGCTACACCCACACTGAACCAGAGCACTAAAATACAAGGAAACTTTTATTTTCAATTTTCATCAAGAAATTTGCTGTGGTTTTTTATGCTTTTGGTTCTTTTCCTTTTTTTTTTTTTTTTTCCACTTTATTTCATTCTAGCTGCTCAGTGGCTGGAGCCGCTGGGTTCCTGGTATTAAAAAGATGCCAACAGAGGTAGCTGTGTCTCGCCCAGGGGCCCGGCCCACTCTGAATACCCCCAAAAAAGGAGAAAAGAAAACACAAAATAAACCAACAAAATAAAACCAAAAGGAGGAAGAAATTCAGATCATTTTCTTCAAGCCTGGCGGGAACCCACAAGAGTTTGTGTGTAACAGGCGTTACGGTGGGGAGAAGCCAGGGCCCAGAAGAAGGCCAGTCCGCCAGCTCCCTGCAGATGGCGCCGGCGCTACTGCTGCATGTCTCTCCAGCAGGAAGGGCACCACCCCCCTCACCCCCTCCCCTTCCCCAGTACACTGGGGTCTATTCCTTTACAACGTGGAAGATGGGGCAGAAGGAAGGAGAGGGTCTCTCAGGCCCCAGGGGAGAAGCTGGGCAAGGGAAAGTGAGGAAGGTCACTGCTCAGCGGTGGAGGTGGTATCATCAATCCGGATCTTCACTGCTGTTGGGCCACCTACAGGAAAGAGAGCCAAGGGAGTCAGAATTCCATACCACAGGAATCTACCAGATCTCAAGGGAACTCACTGGCAAGCTCCCTCCCGACACCACCCGCCCCGCCCAGGAGAACAAAGTTACAAGTTCCAGACCGGCTCCGCTGGAACAGCTGGCCCGAAGAACACCCTACCTGCTGTGGAGTAGGCTCGGGTGCTCGGTTTGCCAAGCGGCTGAGAATGTTACGCTCTGACATCTGTAGCCTCACGGCAACTGGAGGAATTCGGGCGATAGTAGCTGGGAGTCGAGTCACATCAGCTTTCATGTCACTCAGCAGTTCTTCTAGCTGTTTCAGAACTGCACAGGCAGGGGGAAAACAGGCGGTGAGCTGTGGTAGTCAAGACTGAGATCCTTCTGAGCATGATGAACCAGGCCCCTGTTACTTCTCAGTGATCCAAGTGACTGATGTGCTGGAGTATGGTTGTTAGTCACTGTGTCACTTGACCGGCCTCCACCATACCCAAATTACTACTTCTCATATCCCACTTCCAACTGTCCATGACGCTATCTATGCTTTTTTACCCCACTTCGCCCTCAACGCACTTTGTTCCATATTGTCTCTTATCTCTATTCTCCCTCCATGAGAGAATATTCCTGTTGTTTCCTTTTTTCATCATCTTCCCTCTCCATCTTCTGAAGCTGTCTCCTCCTTCTTTTGTAACAGCCTTCTTTTCCTCATCTCAGCCTCCACCTTGCCACCCCCCATATTTGAACTTTATTTAGAAACGTAATGTTGAGGGGCGCCTGGGAGGCTCAGTCGGTTGAACATCCAACTTCAGCTCAGGTCATGATCTCATGGTGCGTGAGTTTGAGCCCCACATCGGGCTCTGTGCTGACAGCTCAGAGCCTGAGCCTGCTTTGGATTCTGTGTTTCCCTCTCTCTCTGCTCCTCTCCCGCTCACACTCTGTCTCTCAAAAATAAATAAACATTAGGGGCGCCTGGGTGGCTTAGTCGGTTGGGCGTCCGACTTTCGCTTAGGTCATGATCTCGCGGTTCGTGGGTTCGGGCCCCGCGTTGGGCTCTGTGCTGACTGCCAGCTCGGAGCCTGGAGCCTGTTTCAGTCTGTGACTCCCTCTCTCTCTGACCCTCCCCGGCTCACACTGTGTCTCCTAGAAATAAATTTAAAAAAATAAAAAAAAATAAACATTAAAAAACAATTTAAAAAAAAGAAACTAAATGTGGAAAGGGATCTAGAATCTAACTGGATCTTAAATCACCTCAAGTCACCTCTAAAGTGTGTCAGGTGTGGGGCGCCTGGGTGGCTTAGTCGGTTGAGCGTCCCACTTTCGCTTAGGTCATGATCTCGCGGTTCGTGGGTTCGGGCCCCACGTCAGGCTCTGTGCTGACTGCCAGCTCAGAGCCTGGAGCCTGTTTCAGTCTGTGACTCCCTCTCTCTCTGACCCTCCCCTGCTCATGCTGTCTCTCTCTCTCTCTCCTAGAAATAAATAAAACATTTAAAAAAAAAAAAAAAGTATCTCAGGTGACACTGTATTATTCTGCTTTGCTTTCCACCTCCAAGACCTTGAATATAACAGAGCTAAAAGAGGCAAAGAACTACTGTCCTTGACTGCCTCTAACATATTAGCTTATTAAGGAAGAAGGCAAAGATCCCAGGCAGAAAGACTCTGAAAACAAGTCTTGGAAACAAGGAGTAAATACGTGTTGGGGAGGGAGAGGGGAAGGAGGCTGAGCCAGCAGGAGACAGGGGAGCCACTGGCTACCTTTGTGCAGGACTGCATTGGCTGGCTTGTTTCCTGCCATCGACTCCTTGGACAGGTGCTGATGACTCTCTGCCAAGCACTCCACCTCCGCAAAGCGGGTGTTGAGGGCCATGGAAGGGTGAGAAGGGTCCTCGGACATGTTCAGGTAGGCTGCCCGGCGCAGCTGCTCCTCTATCACCAGGGCTTGTTCTAAGAGCTGGAGGAGGATACAGAGGAGAGCGGAGCTGGACTGATACTCGCTTTGCTGATTTCTGACCGGCTTCTCAGAACCTATGAAGAACCTTACAGATGGCTCCCCCACACCAGCAGTTCAACATCACATTGCTTTTGCTTTTTTTTATCCCCATTTGGAAGTCCATGTTTTTAACTCTTTGCCCTTTATTGATTTGTTTATTATACAAACATGATAGTTTCAACTTAGGAAATAGAACGTATGAAAATTAAGATGCTAAGTAACTGTCCCTCCTATAGATACTGTTAACATGCTCAGATTTTTTTCATCTATATTTTTTATGTACCTGAGATCACTCTCTCTCTACATTGTGCCTTCACTTAAAATTCCACAGTAAAAACCTTCCTTTTATTAATTGCTCTTGACAAAAGATGCTTTTTAGTGGTTGCACAATAGTCCCTCCTGTGGATATACATCATATCATTTAAGTTGTTTTGCTTTTTAAAATTATGTTTCCTTTTGTCTCCATATCTCACTCCCATTCCCTTTCCTTCCCCAGTAGACAACGCTTATAATATACTTACTGGGTGGCTTTTTGTCGGTGTTCTTGAAGACTGAATATCATTTCATGCATATTTCTAATTTAACAAAATGTGGTTCTGTACACATAAAAAGCTTTTTCTTTCTTTCTCCACTTCAGATCTTTTTAAAATGTTCAATTTATGTTGTTCTAACACTAAAATGCTTCATGATGTGAACCCACATTTTACCTATGCACACTCCCAGTCAGGGTCCCAGTCAAACATCTTCCAGGCCCCACCACCAAAAATTATACTGCAATGAACACTTACGTGTCACCTGACGGAGCTACGTAAAAGGTTCTTTGCAATATATTCCAAGGGACAGACTTAATTTGCTCAAGTATCTACCCAATGGTTCTTAAAAACAATAAAGCCATTAGGGGTCAGGAAGTAGGACAGAATGAGAATAATGGGCTGTTGTTTCTTCCGCAAGACATGCTCCATCAAGCAGAATAATCTATCCCCAGACAGACCAAGCATCTCTTTACGATCTACATACCCTGTCTCCTTCACCAACTGCCTCTTACCGTCCCATACTATGAGGTTTCTCCAGGGCCAGCCCTTGGCTTGCTATTCTTTTAATGCACTCCCTTAAGTGATTTCTCCTTTCCCAGTTCAGCCAGCACCTCTGTGCAAATGATCTGATGCTTTTCAAACCTGAGTTTCAAGCACTGAGCGTTCTGATCCCACTCATGTGTGGCTGATCACTCTTTAACCCAACTTGTTTATGGTGATGGGGGTAGTGGGAAGACACTAGGACTTTTCTAAAATTGAACTTGTTTTCTACAAGCTGCTCCCTCTTCTCACTTCCCTGATCTGCCAATGATAATTTTTCTTGGTGACTCAGGCTCAAAACTTTAGTTTGTATCTCAAATCCAGGAAGTCAAGAGTCAGAAAACTATGGCCTATGGCCAAAATCTGGCCCCACTGGCTGTTTTTGTATAGCCCAAGAAGCTAAGAATGGT